ACCAGCTGTACCAATAGTAACTACAGCAGGTCTTCTCAAATATCTAAAAAAGATTTAAAATATTTAATAAATTAATGATTTTTTTAATAATGAAAGTTGTAGTTCAATTATTTTACCTTTTAGCTAAACGTTCTACTGCAGGAGCCATTGTTGCTGAAGCCATGACGGTTTGTCTACACCGTTCCTTTGTACCATTTTTTTTTAACATTTCAACTGGATTTTCAGCTTCTTCAGTATCTGGCTTAACATTAGAAACCGGTAAAGCATCCAAAATTACATTTACATCTGTTTCAAACCCCATATCTATCATACGATCTGCCTAAAATTTTATTAATTAAATTAATTTTCAATTATAAATAACAATAATAATTATTTTATTGTTAAAAAAAAAAAATATATATATAACAGTAGATTATATTCTTACTTCATCCATTACAACATAAGTACACTGGTTAAGAACTAAAATACGTCTATCCAAACAATCTTTCAAACGACCAGGTGTGGCAATAATTATTTCTGCTCCATTTCTTAAATTAAAAGCTTGTTCTTCAACAGCACGCTAAATAAATAACATAAATTTTAATCAACACAAATTTTTTTAAAAAATAACAATAATGTTATTAATTTACTTACACCACCAACAATTGAAACACAATTGAACCCCATACGATGTGTATAATCTATATTATCATAATATTCCCCCAAAAAAAATCAATATACAAAATCATCATCAGCATCAAAATTAATTAAAGTTCCCATCCATACCTTCAATATTTTTGGCCATATCATAGTTAATAACTAATGAAACATTCTTTACATCAATACCACGTCCTGCAACATCAGTAGCAACTATAATTTATAATTTATGATTATTAATAATACAAATTTTATAAATAAATATTTAATATAATTCAAAATCTTTATAATTATACCAAGTATTTCCATTGTGCCATTCTTAAGTTGTGCTAAAGCACTTTCTCTGTAATAGAGATAGAAAATGTATTGTTAAAATATTTAAAATATTATAAAATTTGTTTTCTAAATTTCAAAAATTTTTTACAAACCTTTGTTCTTGTGTTTTACCTCCATGAAGTGTAGTTGCTCGATACTAAAATTTTTTATTTGAATTAGCAAGGAATCATGCGAAATCTTTCATATTTGATTGGTTCATATAATACAACAACAACAAAACTTACCCCTAGTTTGTTTAATGCTCTAGCAAGAACATCACAGCCTTTTTTCTGATTAACAAATATGATTATTGGTGGATCAAATGAACCTTGTAAAATCTCCAA